AGATCAGTCGTCGACGATTTTGATAGTCGACGTAATCGTGACTAGTCGACAAATCGTGGCAGCCCTACTATGCAGTATGTAATTATTGGTGTTGATGTTTTCTTGCAACAGGGTAACTGGTCTCTGAAGAGATTCAAGATGGACCGTCAGGGAGTCACCCAGGTCCTGTCTCGTCTCTCCTACATTTCAGCTCTCGGCATGATGACCAGGATCTCCTCCCAGTTTGAGAAGACGAGGAAAGTCAGCGGACCGCGCTCCCTGCAGCCGTCACAGTGGGGAATGCTGTGTCCATCTGACACTCCTGAGGGCGAGGTGAGTGTGCTGCGGCAGCCACACCTGATGGCCCAGGAGGTTTCTCAAAGGCTAATATGCTGTGGCACATGTACTGCTATATATAGGAATCATGGTCAGCAATTTCTTTCTCACTTTAATGAGTTATTCTCATGTTATAACACTCTCTGTGATGGTTAGACAATGATCTACCTCTAAATGGGGATTGGAGGGGAGGTTACTGACACTGAGACTCTTAGAAAAACTCTTGTCTCTGTGTTTTTATGCATTTCCACAAGGATAATATTGGATTATATATGTGTATCTGTAGGCCTGTGGTCTGGTGAAGAACTTGGCTCTGATGACGCACATCACCACCGACATGGAGGACGGTCCCATCATCAAGCTGGCCTTCAACCTCGGGGTGGAAGATGTGAACCTGTTGTGTGGAGAGGAGCTCTCCTACCCGAGCGTGTTTCTCGTCTTCCTCAATGGTAAACCTCCTCCTCCGCAGTGGAGCCTAATTAATAAATAAACACAGAGAGAATTAACACCGGAGGCTTTTGCTTTAGATCGTTTGAAAAGAAAGTCTTAATCCTCCCTGTTTTGAATGTGTTGCTTATGAACATGAAGGGAAAAATATTCTGTTTAGTTTACAGAAGGTAATTTTGCATTTCACTGTGAGGCTGATAATTCATTCATTTCACGACAGCAGTAGGTATTATTCTTGAGTCAAAACTTGGCCCCTTAATTACTGTATATGTTTGTCTCGCCACTGATAACTGTCAAATTATATTAGCTGCCATACCATTTAATTAGTTGGTAGCAGCAGGTGTCAAAGCCCTTCAGAGTGTGTTCAGTGCAAATGTGCCCTCACACAGAGGCAGAGCACAGTGTCTCCTCTGTTCTCCAGTCATTTGTCTGTCAGACTTGATATGAACACACCCCTACAGGCAGTTAGAGCTCCGTTTCTTCCAGAGTAAGCTGCGGTGTCTTACAAATGCCACCTTCACTCCTTCTTTGCATTTAAAGTTTGAATTTTAACCAAAATCAGCTGACGAATAATTTGTCGTGGCTTTTTTGTGGAAAAATCCCATAAATGTCCTGTTTTAGCCTCTTAGATGTCAAATGTGTCCATGTTTCTTGTATAATGGTAAACAGATAATGTATGAGCTTCAGACAGGTGTTTATTGTACTGTGGCCATTGTTATATGGTTTACTATTCTTTGGCATTTTACTGATAATTTGACTAACTGAGAAAACAACTGGTAAATTATTGGATAAGCAAAATCCATGTGTTTATTAATGTGAACTCTAAATGTTAAACAAATGTGATGCAGCAGGTTAAACAGCTTCACACACAAACAACCAAGCAGTGATGCAATCAAGAACAATCCTACTGTCCCTAATGTGAACTGCAATATCTGTCAAAACTATGTCAAAAGATGTTGTTATTGAACAGTCTCTAATGGATAAACTACATTTCACAGTGCACTCTTTTTAGTGGGTTTACATCCAGCAAACATCTCTGCTGTGAGGGGAAAACCTTCACTCATCACAGCCACACACCTACAGACGCTACCTGGCTCGTCAGAGAGTGAAATGTAGCTCCTCAATGATGCTGGCAACTTTTCTGTCTCTACGCTGTGACAATAGTGTTGTATGCATTGTGATCCATCAGATGTTTTCAACATTAACAAACGTGCTACAAGTGACTGTGACATGAATTTGAAATAATGAAGTGAAAAAGTCACATAAAATAATCAAAGGAAGATCAATATAATGTGTTCTTCTTATCAAAGCGTTTTGTAACATCAATAAATTAAAAAAATTGGTCTTAGCCTGTTTTGGCGTGCTGTATCACAATTGCGTAACAATTGTTTGGTTGCTCTTAGAGATTACTGAATACGCAAAGTCAGAATGTGTTTAGCTCAGCACATCAGTCTTCTAACCCAAAAATATGTTTAATATTTAATGTCTATCCTCTTTATCTGTATCATGTCCACAGGTAACATCCTCGGTGTGATCCGAGACCATCAGAAGCTGATCAACACTTTCAGGTTGATGCGCAGGGCGGGTTTCATCAATGAGTTTGTGTCCATCTCCACAAACCTGAGCGACCGCTGCGTCTACATCTCATCTGATGGAGGACGACTCTGCAGGTGCGGAAGTTTTGAAAAAATAGCATAATGTGGAAATAAATGTTTGCTGAAGATCGTTACACACCAGTGTGTTTGCTTAACGTAACCTTGAGTTCTTTAGTTGTAAGAATGTTTTTCACACAGCTTTGTTTTGTTGTGTTTCCCTCTGCAGACCATACATCATCGTAAAGAAGGGAGTTCCAATGGTGAAAAACAAGCACATCGAAGACCTGTCTCAGGGCTACAGGTGAGGGTAGGAGTGCAGAGAGTGACTGCTGTTATTAGAGAAGCAGCTCTTTAAGTTACTGTTTTGTTTTTTAAACTCGCCACTTTGGCTTATTTGCTAACTTAATAAACATCAATTATACAACTGCTTGAAAAACAAAAGCCATTGGTTAGTATCGTGCATATTTGTGAAATTATGAGTGTATCCTCACACCACAATCACACCATACAGGCACTTCCCAAACAGTAGATTTTTATTAATAGTTTCTGTACTTTATTTACTTCAGAACTTTTGAGGATTTCCTACATGAAGGCCTGGTGGAGTATCTGGATGTCAACGAGGAGAACGACTGTCAGATCGCCCTTTATGAATACATGATTAACAAGTAAGTGGCACATGATAAGCTGATATCAGTAAAATGAAAAGATCATTCAGGTTTATGTCAAGTAAGTTATACCTGTTTTTTTGGGGTTTTTTTTAAACCTCTCTAGAGACACAACACACTTGGAGATCGAGCCCTTCACACTGCTCGGGGTGTGTGCCGGACTCATTCCCTACCCCCACCACAACCAGTCACCCAGGAACACATACCAGTGTGCTATGGGCAAGCAGGCAATGGGTAAGAGTGGGCTGAGCAGCTAGCACACAGGTCATCAAACTGCAAGGATCTCGAATCCTTTCTCAAACATCCTCCCCACAGCTGCATGTGCACACACAAACACGGCCTCTTACAGTAATTTAATCTTACATGAACACATGAACAGTGTTCCTAAGCCTCCTAAATCTGCCGGTTCAGAGTTTGCACTTTTATTTGCACAAGTTAAAATCATACAAAAGGGCATTAGAATAACAAATGGTATAGATACAAGCGGCCTGCTGGTTCGTCTCCCCCAAAACTCCACTCCTGCACCACTTCTTGTCAGAATGCATTTGTACGTGTGATTAAGTGTCTCATGTGTGTGTGTGTGAGTGTGTGAGCATGAACATCAAACATGGGGAGCTTGCGTAGGTTTTCTTTTGTGCTGTGTGTGCAGAGGCCCTTTCCCTGCCAGTCACCCAGAGTGTCATTAGCAATTCATTGTGTCTGCTCTGGCTGTGCTCGGGGGGTCAGTGTGCTCAGCTGCAAAAGACCACTGAGTGTGCACCCGGAGCTCCTTGGTAACCAGAACTTCCCCAAACGGCCCTGCTAACATTCGTAAGGACTGCGGTCGCCCCCACCCCTCCACTTTACCTTCATCCGTTCCTTCCTCCCCGCCCTCCCAGTCTTTACAAAAACACTGACTGGAACTATATTTGGCCCAATATTCTCTGCCTTGTCTATTTTGTATGGACGGCTCTCATACATGTGCAAATCTGGCTGTGTGGCCCGGCCCTGTTATCACACGCAGTTTAATTGTGAAGCAGTATCATCTGACAAGTGTCAAAACCACACGGAGGCCAGACTTCAGGCCATAATATAAGAGAGGTCTAATCAGGAGGAAGTAACACCTATAATCCTCTAAAAATGGATTTATTGATAATTTTATATATTTTCTTATAGATGCCCTAAATTACTAGATTACAGACACACAGTGAGTTACATATAAGTTTTTATTAAAAATTCAGTTCTTTTTTTTAAAATTCGTGATTCTTCTCTCCAGGGACTATCGGCTACAACCAGAGAAACCGCATCGACACCCTGATGTACCTGCTGGCCTATCCTCAAAGGCCGATGGTCAAAACAAAAACCATTGAGCTGATTGATTTTGAGAAGCTGCCGGCTGGTCAGAACGCCACCGTGGCTGTGATGAGCTACAGTGGCTATGATATTGAGGACGCTCTGGTCCTCAACAAAGCCTCACTGGACAGAGGTGTGAGATCTGTCCAACTTAAAGAATTGCATAGTCGTTTTTAAGCAACAAAATACCAGAATAGGAGGTAGAAAATCTAATGTAACAGTAAATGTGTCTCCAAACAGGATTTGGACGGTGCCTTGTCTACAAAAATACAAAATGCATACTGCGGCGTTACACCAATCAGACTTTTGACAAGGTGATGGGCCCCATGTTGGATGCTGCAACACGAAAACCCATCTGGAGGCACAGCATCCTGGATGCTGATGGTATCTGCTCCCCTGGTGAGTACCAGCAGGACTGGAGCAAATCCAGCATGGTTCGCTGCTCCTTAACAGCCTCTTCTGTGGCATTCATTTTATGAGCATTATCTGTGTCATTAATAGTGGTCAGGAGTTTGTTTTTACTGATGTTTCACTCAGAGAGAAGTGAAGCCTATTTTGCAATATTTACACACACACCACTTCTTACATATCTCCATAGTTTTTCATCAATTGGAACAGTTAGAAATGTGTCATCAATATTATTAGTATGAAGAAGAAGAAGAAGAAAATAGGATCATACAGTACAAGTGTGGATTAATCAGGCATCTCATGTATGCCTGATTACAAGCCAGTCCATTTCATGCATGCACAGTAGCGCAGGCAAATAGTTGCTCACACACTCGCCGTGGCCATTATTGAGCTCTTCACTGTGAGTGAACACACAGTTCCCAGAGTAAATCCTGGTGGAACCACCACAAAATCGTTTTTTACAACAAACCAAATCTGGCACCTAAATCACCCTCACCAAGCTCAATATGGACATTTTAAAGGAGTTAACAAAGAGAAAGTGCCTAAAGCTGAAGCTGTCCAGAGCTTATAGCCGGCCTGCAGCCATGAGATGCATTGTAAGCCTCGGTATAAGCAAAGTATCAAAGCAGTTACAAAAGAATTGTAGAGACGAGTTAAAAGAAACGAAGGTCCTGTTGTCTGGTGACATTATAAACATGCTGAAAAATGTTGTAAGTAACTGACGTTTGTTTTGTAATGTAAATCTGTTGCATCTGCTTTTGTTTCGTTATTATGTAAAGGTGGGTGTACAGAAACTTATTTTCAATTAATCATTTGTACCTCATGTGGCAGACCCCTTTAAAAGCATCCTGTGACTTACTGCTTTTATTATGAAAATAATATTTAAGATTCAAAAAGTTGATTTTTGTTTGTATATCCTGTATTAGCAACAGAGCCCAACTTATATAAAGCTCCTATTTGCTGATATAGTAATTTTCATTTGTTAGGCAATAAATTAAAAGTAAAGAAGAAACAGGAAAAAAACACCCTTCAACCATGTTATCGGTGTTGACTTTGCATAGTTTGTCCACTAGAGGGTACTATGCTACTTCCCTGTTGGCAACATGCTACAAACAAAACAGCCAGTTGATCTGAGCAGAGTCAGATGGATAATGAATAAGTAAAACAAACTTATTTTTAAACCTGCATTGTAACATTATGTTGGTAAGGACACATAAGTTACTGCACATAACAAGTATGAGGCAAATGTTTTTCTTTCATGTGCATTAAAAAAAAAATCGTCCGATATATCTGATTTTTAAGTCTGCAAATTTCAGTATCAATTCCAGTATCGGTCGGGCTCTAGCGTGCGGATCGCTTCTCAGTCGGATCCACTCTTCGTTCATCATATTTAGTTTAAAAAAAATAGCGCAGGAGACCACAAACCTTGGGGGGGCATGGACATCAAAGAGCTTGTTTCTATCTTTCATATACAGTTTATGGTTTTAGTAGCGATTCAAAGTCATTACCAGAACAGTAGAGACATTTTTGAAGAAAGCAGATGTAAACAAAGCTAGCAAAAACAAAACAGGTAACAAGCAATTTAAAACTGTGTTAAATACAGTTTTAAATTGAGAGCCCACATGTGTGAGCTCAAATAAGTCTGAAAACAAACTTATTTGTTTTCGTTCTTTTGCTTTTGGTCAAAGATTTGACGTTAGCACAAGTTAAAGAGAACTTAATGGCCTTTAGTCTATGTAGGCCAGTCTGTTTAAGACTCTTTGATGTGTTTTGTGTGCTTCAGGTGAGAGAGTGGAGAACAAGCAGGTGCTGGTGAACAAATCTATGCCGACTGTCACGCAGACACCACTGGAGGGCAGTACCCAGCCAGGCCAGCCCCAGTACAGAGACGTGCCCATCAGGTGAGTCAGCTCCCAGCACCACGCCCACACACATCACTGTGGAACTATTTTTTTTTTTCAGCTCTTACATCTATGTAGAGGGAAAAACGGGACTCAGTTTGAATTCTCTTGTTTTCAGTTATAAGGGGTCAACGGACTCGTACATCGAAAAGGTCTTGATCTCGTCCAATGCTGAAGACGCCTTCCTCATCAAGATCCTCCTGAGGCAGACCAGGAGACCTGAAATAGGCGACAAATTCAGCAGTCGACACGGACAGAAAGGTGCCGACCCCATGACAGCCACAATGCCTGCTCTGTGAGACCAGAGCCTAAAGATTTTGAGCTCAAAGCTGGAGGGAGAGTACAGAGGGTTAGGGTTTTCAACCTGTTGCGAGAGATTTGTAAATGCCTGGACAAAAAGAGGAAAATCTTCCACTGTGCTTGAGCATTTGTTGAGTCAAGTCCCACTAGCTGCTGTTCTGTCACTGCCCCCCTGTTCTCATCTTTCAAGAGCCTTTTCAATTAATTGGCTCTTTGTCCTGTGCCAGACTATGCAAATTTATTACACCCCAGCAGTATTCTGGGGGGAAAAAAGTGTTTATAGCCTCTATTGTTTTGCAGCGCCTCCCCTATAGAGGGCTAGTATGATGTTTTAATCAAAAAGCTAACTGGCGCCATGCATAATTTACTCTCTTCATTAACATGGTGGGCACTGGGCGGTCAGCTCAGGATGGGACAATGTCTTCTGTCTCAGATAGTGACAAGGAGAGAGGTCAGTGTGGGGTTAGCTGGAGGAGTTTTGGATGGAGACACCCAGATGTGCAGCTGATGTGGAGCTAGTTTTAATCACAATTGCCTCAAAGAGGAAAAGTAAACCTTTTTATCTACATTTTTGCTTCACTGTGGTCATCTCTCTGTAAAAACAACCATTTATTTCGTCTCTGATGAGTAATTTGAAAGGAACAAACTCATTATTTCTTCATCAATATATAAAAGTGTTTAATTAGAAGTGAATTTGGCTGCAGTGATGGATCTCCCAGCTTCTCATGACTACTCTCATAAGTCCTGGTCAGCAGAGCAGAATAAGTTAATTATTTACCGGTCACACACACATACACAGCTGTGTAGGTGGGGGAGGCGGCGGACGGGCTGTTAGTAGTAGGGGCCTATTGTGTGAGCCGCCACTGTGGAGCTGTATGAGCTGTGATGGAGGGCTCTGGACCCTTGCTGTTGTCTTGCCTTTCTCTGCTGATTTCATGCCTCTTTTATCATTTACTTTCACACAAAACAAACAACACCCAAGGATGTCTGCTGTTGGTAGTGTCTCTGTGGTGCTTTCCACCGTTTTCCAACTTCATTCTTCCTCCTCTCACTCCTCTTTTGGAGTACTTTTAACCTGATAATCAGCCTTTTTCTTAATGCCTTTTCTCTCTTTATACTTTCTTCTGGCCCTGCCTTACCCGCCTTTTCTCTTTTCTTTTCACCTTCTTCCTGCCGTTGGATGACTTTCCTGTTAATCGCCGTACTTGTTCCTAGTCAACATCCTGTTGCAACATCCTGTAAGGCATCAGCAGTCAGCTGCGTCGCTGACTGGTCGGCTAATAGTGAATTTTTCCCACGTGCACTGATTCGTTTTCTCCTCTCGAGTTGATCCCCTCCACTTCCTCTGACTTGAACTGAAAATCATGGGTGTGTAATCCCAGTCTCCCTGTCCAGCTAAGCACCTTTCTCCACTTCCTGCTCTCCTTCACTTCACTCCTTTTTCCTTTTTTCCTTCGTTTTTTCATTTGCAAATGGACCTACAATCTGTTTACCATGGCCAAGGAAGAGTGCTTCGGCCCCTCAGTAAACATTTGCACTCACACTTAAACTCCTGGCTACCAGGGGTGCTTGTCCCCCCACATCATGCGAGTCAAAAGAGGTCCCTGTCTGTCCACATGAGTATGGAAATGTCATGCTCTGCCAGTGGTCCACACAGAGCCCCCACAGCACAAACACTATTAAGTTTGCTGAACTGGTGCTTGCAGTTAGGTCAGAAAGTCAGATTTTTTTGTCCTTAAAACCACATTAAAACTGCAGCCTACTTTTAAAACTTATCACTTTTATTTTTATTTAACATTTTCTATTCAAAATATTATAAAAAGCCTATTACACATTCTGTGCAGCCAAAGTGATGTGTTAACACTAGGGATGGGTACCGATGGCACCGGTTCTGACATAAACGGTAGTAACCAGACCGAAAAGCAGCGCACATTTCGGTGCTTTTTTTTTTCCTGAGCTGTGATACACTTCTAGCCAATCATTTTACGTTTCCGAGGATAGTAGGCGGGGCCAGGTACGTACGTTCTTTTAGAGCAGAGCTACAGATTAAAAATGCCCAAGGCGAAGCGGTCAAAAGTCTGGCTGTACTTCACAGCAAAATATGCAAACTCAGCAGCCTGCAACAAGTGCTTTAAGCTGATACTGTGCAAAGGAGGTAACACCTCGAATCCGATGAAACACCTGGCGACGCATAGCGTTTTTTTTAAAAGCCGAGAAATGCGCCGTATTTGATAGCTTGCTGCGAGACCTCACACCGAGCACATCTACTGCGGGTGTGTGCCTGTTATCGGACCCGGAGTTAGCAACATCCCCCAAAAACCCGAAGAGGAGAGTCCTGGCCCCTAGCCCTGCCAGTGTAGCAGAAATGATGAGGATGATGATGGCAGCAGCAGCCGTTCTTCTCTGCGTGAGTAGCTTAATGTTGTTCGTGTGTAATTTACGTTGAGTAGGCTAACCACGTTATTACATTAATGCATGTAAGGTGAACTAGCAAACATCATCATAGCTACATGCGGCTGTCTTCTTGTTTGATGGCAGATACTCCCTTCACCCTGGCCAAAAAGGCTAAAATGACCAAAGAAAAAGTGGAAAACAGTTAAACATGAGAGGTTTTTGGACAAAGTTTGTGTTTTTTCCATTGTTTAAGCACTGCTTCCAGCCAAGAGTGATACCATATATGCCCCATAGCTGCAGAAAAGGCTAACATTGTTATCTTTTTACAAAAAAACAGCTGAACATGAGAGGTTTTTGGACCAATTTTGTGTTCTCCATTCTTTAAGCACCGGTTTGAGCACCGTTTGAGCACCGGCACCGTTTCAAAAGTACCGATTTGGCACCGGTATCGATAAAACCTAAACGATACCCATCCCTAATTAACACTGCTGTAAAGTTAAAGTACAGCCTCGGATCCTCACATGTGGGAAGCTGATTGGTTTTCTCTTTGCCATATGTGTGCATTAATGTTTTTTGTGTGTGTGTTTGTGTGTTTCAGGTGTTTGTGGCCTCATCGTCCCACAGGAGGACATGCCGTTCTGTGACACAGGGATCTGTCCAGATATCATCATGAACCCTCATGGATATCCCTCCAGAATGACGGTGCGACACTTCACAGCTGTGGAAACTGAAATTCTGCAACATTTTTCTCTGTTGATTCATGTGCCAAGTATTTTTTGCATTTTTTGCATTGTTTTGTTTAGAAATAAACCAAAGGGGAAGAAATTTAAAAAATTAAACAGTAAACAACCATAATGTCAGAAAACGGTGTGAAATATAATCTGCAGATAATGATACGTTTGCTAAACAGTTGATTAAACGATTATTTTCTCAAAAGTTTTAAAAGACCCCAAAGGCAAAAAAGTGATACCTTTAAACATCTTGCAAGATCCAATCATTAATGATCAACCCATTTGCTGGAGCTAGAACTTATAATATATTATTCATGGTATTTTTAGGGCTATTAATTCATCACTGGCTTTGTCATTTCTGCTCCGATGTTGTAACATTTGTCAGGGAGGTTAAGTTTTCTTTTCTCTTGTTGAAAAGCTGGTTATTTGCCGTCTAATTTGAGGACGTGCTTTCGGTTTTTATTTGTGGGTTGTTTTTTTTTTTGTTCTTTTTGCTACGACTGGAGTCTGAGTCACCTAAGATGCTGTGGCTGTCGCTCTTTATAAGTTTGTGCTGGCTCTCCTGAGACAAAACCCTCATTATCCCCACTCCTCTTCTCTCTGGGTTATCATTGGCTTCCAGAGCACACGTCCATTGACGCCGTTAAGCAGCAATCTCACTGTTCACAAACAGATATTTGTTGCTGCGGAGACAGCTGCCAGTGAGGCCACCGCCTGTAGCGGTGTGTGTGGAAGTTTTATCAAACGTGGCCAGTACATGTGAACTGTAGGATGGTGATGAATGTGAATGACATGAGACTTGGCTCGGTTTCATACACTGTAAAAACCTGAATGATCTTTACTGCTGCTCACTCTGGTTTCCATGGAAAAGGCTCAGAAATGCTTGGCTCCAGAGGATGTTTCTGTGGCCTGGGAGTGATATGAGAGTAGGTGTTTCCCTTTGTGTGTCGGGGTCAGGGGTCCTCTGAGTGCGATCTTAGTGGAATTGTTGAACTCAGCCATCCTTGGACTGCTGTCACCAACCCTGAGGAGTACATGTGTAATCTAATCTCACCCTTAATATACACATTTAGTGCCAGGAGAGGATGTAAAGCACAAAAAGATTTGTGTAATGAACAGAGCTGCTGTTCTTTTCCTGAACTTCGTCAGGTGGGAAAGTTGATTGAACTCCTGGCTGGGAAGGCGGGGGTCCTGGATGGGCGCTTCCACTATGGCACAGCCTTCGGAGGCAGCAAGGTGAAGGATGTGTGTGAGGATCTCATCCGTTATGGATACAACTACCAGGGCAAAGACTACGTCACTTCAGGCATCACTGGGTAATTAATAGAGGATGTTTTAGGTTAATAACCACACACAACACAATGCTGCTACACAAGTGTTTGCATTGCTACTCATGACTGTTTATAAGTCTTATTTCTCTTAATGCTGTGAAAAATTTCTCAGAGTGATGTTAACATTTTATCACCACAGTATTAGTTCTTAAACAGTAGCTTGAATGTTTTCATTATGCAGAAATTGCATATTGTCATAGTGGCCTCGTTAGTGCCTGTCCATCCGGCACCAGCTGTATACAAACAGTACATTTAATTTCTGTGTAAAATCTGCCGTCTGAAGGCAAGGATCACGTGTACAAATCTTTCATCGTTAGTATTTCTTTATTCAAATTTATGGACCAGCAGTCCAAAAAGAAGGCAGATTTTTGTTGGAATCATCTCATGCTTTGTTTATCCACTATTTTATTACAAAAAATGATAGATTTTATATGCTTATGTAATGTATGTGTTAGCCTGATGTGCACACAATTCCTGACCCCTGCTTTTCCCTCAGAGAACCTCTGGAGGCTTATATCTACTTTGGACCTGTGTATTACCAGAAACTGAAGCACATGGTTCTTGACAAGATGCACGCCAGAGCCCGAGGCCCCAGAGCCGTTCTCACCAGGTAGTTTCTCATCTGTGGTGACGTTGAGATTCGATTAGTGCCTATAAGTGTTGAATTAAATTCTCCGTATCCACCTGTCCTGATAACAGGCAGCCCACGGAGGGTCGCTCCAGAGATGGAGGTCTGCGTTTGGGTGAGATGGAACGTGACTGTCTGATCGGCTACGGAGCGAGCATGTTGCTCCTGGAGCGCCTCATGATTTCCAGCGACGCTTTCGAGGTGGACGTGTGTGGGCAGTGCGGGCTGTTGGGATACTCTGGGTGGTAAGCTGTTTCTGCTGGTGAAACATGTTAGGGGGCATCACAAGATCTGGTGCACATTGATACGAACTGAAAGAAGGGGAAATATTTTAGTTTACAAAGTGAATAAAAAAGCTTGGTAGCTGTGTAATCCGGGTGGTCCATAAACGTCTGTTCTGTTTCCGTGTTTCAGGTGTCATTACTGTAAGTCGTCCTGCCACGTCTCCTCCCTGCGTATCCCCTATGCCTGCAAACTCCTCTTCCAGGAGCTGCAGTCCATGAATATCATCCCTCGACTCAAGCTGTCGCGCTACAATGAGTGAGCAGGACAGAGACGGGACGTGTGAGTCACAGGTTTAGAGCGAGAGTTATAAGTTGATTTGTGAATGTTTGATCGAGCGACAAACAAGCAGAAAGAAGCTGAAACAGGACTATTTTTGTTGTTGTTTAAAATCTGAAGACTTTTTTCCTGTTTCTTTTTTTTTTAATGTTTATTCTTTCTCTGTTTGTGTACATAATAAATAAGTTGATGTTTTTTCTTAAACTTTGACTTCTTTCATTACAAATATCAAAAGGTTGCCCTTTGAGGGCAAAATCTCCAGGATGTCACCAACTTTAAATTGTTTGTCCTGAAACATGTTTTGACCGCAAGATCTTTTGAACATCCTGACCTGGGTCATATTTCCCCACTTTTTTTTTCTGTCTGCTTTTCTCCTGTCTAATAAATGTTAAGTAGGATTTTGAAGCTGGAAACTTTGAGATCGGCTGTAGCAGTGCAGTGTGAAGAAAACATACCCTAGAGTCAAAGAGGTCCCATAATAACTTCTTTTCAGTAGATTCACTCTTCACTGCTGATTTAATCACTTAAATTCAAAAAGATAAAAGCAGGTGCGTGCAGCTACATGCCAGATATCCAACCCAAGGACACTATAAAGCTAAATGGTAGAATTAAGTGAGTGAATCTAATCAGTATCGTCACCTTAAATATAAACTGATCTTTGTTACCCACGATCAGTGTCCTGTATGGCTGTAAACTTTGTCACTTACTGCAAATTAACCAGTGTAACCTGCCCCAGCGTTTTCATGCAGCCTGCACCGTGAACACATGATGTGTGTGTGTAAGGGGGCCATTGTTTTTTATTACCTGAATTAACAAATTCTGTTGTATTATGCTTTAACCTGCCTTAACTTTAAAATTAATTAACTAGGAATTAACTAAAACTAGATGTGAAAACATTTTGGTTACCTAAAATAAAAAAAATTAGTTATTTGTTTTTCAAAACTTTAATGGAACAATGTTGTGAAATTGGGAGATTAACTGAAAAAAACCCCCCAAAACAACAAATTTAGATGACAATTTTGTATTTGTTAGTTTTGTGAGACTTATTCTCACAGCTTGTCTGATGAGACTTTGATGGATGTATTTATTGAGGCTTCAGATGTCTACAACACTGTGAGACTTTTTTTTCCGTAAATCTTACCTCTGGTATATGTCATAAATACGATACTTAGGACAAAAACTACCCTGAAAATAATTTTTAATAACTGCTTATTTTTAGTTGTAAACAATAAAATCTGAACTGAAATGAGCAAACCCGCTCAGGAAACGAAATCAAACTAAACTGGATTAAAATGAAAAACACAATTTAAAAACTCCTTAGAAAATTCAAAGTAATAATAATAATGTTATTATAAAGTTGCTCTGTGGGAATCGTACTGAGTCTGAGAATTACCTGCCCAGGTGGCGGCCATGCAAACTCAAAACACATTAAAAATGCAACAACAAAAAATACAACGTCATATACAACGCCAGTAACATTTTATACTATACACAAACACCCTTACCCAGTGTTGCTTTAAAGATAAAGAAAGGGCTGTTTTCTGCAAGTGGTGACCACCGTCCTGTCAAATCATAAAGAATCTGTAATAAAACAGAGATGCCTGAAATAAAAGTGAATGCACTGCATCACTGTAAATAATGTTTTTGTTATGAATTTAACCCAAGAAGTAATGAAAACAAAATAGTGTGCATTTAACACTTTGTGCATTTATACTGAGGTGTGAAAACGGGACGTTGTCAAGTCTTTTTTCATTTGGGAAGGAGTTAAAGTACAATTTTAAGACATGTATTAACCTTTTAGAATTTACAGGTGTGAATAGTGATTACTCACAAAGCATCAGCTGATGTTTGTGTTAGTTAAACGTGTAAATGAGAATCAGAGCACAGTTTTATAGTTATCAATGCAGAAATCCTGATGATTTAAAGCCTTTTCGTAGAAAGAGCAAATAGTTTGTGCTCTGATATCAGTGCATCTTTATGCAGCTGATACACGCACAGAAAATAAGCATTCAAATGTTCTAGAATTCATCTCATGGAACAATAAGTATCTTTTTATTATTATATATAATCAGCAGTGTACAGTTAATTTTTTTTTACATTTTTAACTGATTTTTGGAAGATTAATTTTGTTTGATCACAATCAAAAACACGAGTGGCTGAAGTCTCTCGGTAGAGAGAGCAGGATGTCTCCTGTTTGAATTCAATAGGAGTGGACAGCTGGATGCTCGATGCAGCAGCTTTGTTGACGTTACCAGGGAGAGAGCAGCTTTAAGTCATATGATTTCCTCTTTAAAGTGAAGCCCTAATGCCACCAACTTGTCGTATGTGGCGTAACCACATACCCCCTACTCCCACGTGCACACACAACTCTATTGGGGCCTTTTCACTAAACAAAGCAGAGCACATCCGTTTGTGCGGGCAGAGTGTGTGAGAATGGGATGGGTGGAAAAGGGCTCTTTTTAGTTGCTGCACCTGTCCTATTTTACGAGGCACTAATAAGCAGATAACAGTCACTAGGCTGGGAAAAAATGAGTGAGAGCCATTGAAATTAGGCTGAAATTAATTAGGTCCTCCTCTGAAGTCCTGACTTTGCGTGGCCAGCATCTAGAGCTTTGAGAGTTGAGTCAAAAATGAAGATTTCCCTGAACTTTCACCCAATCCAGCAGCTCTTTCCTTCCTGTTTGAGCCCGATTTGATGCTTACCTCTGTCCTAACTAAGCGTGGCCCTGTGTCCGTCACCCGTCGCTGAGTGTCAGCAGTGGTGTCCACGCCTGCGCACTGCGAGTGAAAGTCCTTCTTTGCGCTCCATGGTGTGGTGAGTAATTCAGCCATAATCCGCCTTTCTCCTCTCCCCTCTTCTTTCCCCTCTCCTCTCCCCCTCTCCTGCGGTTCCATTCATATTCTAATCACAGCTTTCCCTTCTCCAGCTCTCAGGCACTCCATCAGAGCCCTCCCAGCCTCGGGTTTTGCACTTTTACTTCCCCCCCTTTGTGACCGTTCCCTCTTCTCAGAGGCATACCAAAAATAAGGTTGCAAAAAAAAAGAGGTGAGAACTCCACCAAAACATTCACACTGGTGCAGTTTCATCATGTATGGATGTGTGTTGCGCCGCAGCTCTGGAAAAGTTACCACAATAGTGCTTTGGGGGGTTTGAATGAGGAGTGAGGAGCAGCACAAATGCAGGCAACAAGTGTGTGAGGGATGTGAAGTGGGAGTTAAAACCAGAAGGAAAGGCAAGAGTGGTGGTTGTGTAGAGATGTATGTTTATTCGGAGCTCGGGGGTGTATAAAAACGTATTAAATGCCATAATGGAAGACGGGGAGGCCACAGTGTTAGGACTGCGTAGATCTAAGCCTCTTTTTTTTTTTTTTTTCGTTGGGGTTGTTTGTTTTTTCTTGTCTGTTTTGTGGAGGGATGTTAAGTTATGGCCATTTGAAGGGTAAACTGCATGTTCTGGGCCTTGCCACATCCCCATCTGACTTGGGGCCATTCATCAGCCTTCCAAGCCTATCAATGACATGTCCCCATCAGGGCTCCTATAAAATCAGCCCC